ACATATTCCCTGACATAGCACATAATATTTCTCTCTTTTGGAAGACTTCTATAATGAGAATAAATTGGCTCAGGGCAGAGAGGGAGTGCCACCTTTCCTTTGCTTTTTTGTGCTTGTCCAAAGGGAATATAAAATGCAAATGAATCAGAATAGAAATTTTTTGCCCAGTTTGGACTCATACAATTTGTAACCCATTTTTCACATGTAAAAAGGAATATACATATCTATTTCATTTAAGAAGCAGCTCATGAATTTACTTTGCTTACAGATTTGCACATGATACTCTTAAGTGCAGCTCTAGGCAGAGCAATGTCTCTTAGAAAGTTTTGTCATGCATTAGGGTAAAGATATAAAATTTAAACAAGTGGAAATTGAACATAATACTTTGGTATTATTGTCAGTATTTTTTTGTTGTTGTTGTTGTTGTTGGTAATACAAGGTTTCTGGATGGTAATATCAGTTTTAAGGCCAAATTAAAAAGTGATCATCAAGAGGCCATAAAAATGGCTTCAGTAAAAAAACAACAGTGTGCAGTAAGTTTACATTAGGTCAGCTGGGCAGCTGAGAATAGCCTGGTCACTTCTAGAAATTATATAAAGAAACATGTACTTCAAGTTTGAAAGCCTCTGTAATGGTTATGTTTAGATGTTAAGTAGCATCTGCTTTGGCAGTGCACTGAGACAGTGAACACTGATATGGAAGACTACAGTCTTGATAGCAAGTCTAGCAAATTCATGTCTGGGTTTTGGGATTTCTGTACTATGGAGCCTTAGCCTCCTCTTCATGGCAGTTACTGAAAGAAACTTAGTTTCAGTTGAATTTATTCATAGACTTTACTAGAACCAATGTAATTTTTTTTACAACAGTCTTGTTAAAGAATTTAGATGCTTAGACTGATAAATCATAGAAGTTATGAAAGCAAAACCTTAGTTTGCTTGTTTTCATCAGTATTTTTCAACTAAACAAACCATTTTCCTGTTCATCTATCCTAAGACAAAAAAACTACATTTTAAGTACCTGGAAAGTGTTACTAACTGCTTTGCTAAATCAAACCTTTGACATGGAGTGAGGTTGTAGTCTCATGGCTATCCTACATTTTGTCATTCAGTGACACCGTGTAATCTCAACAAAAGTATTATTCATAATTTCTTCATAAAAGTTACACACAGACATCTGTAAAGTATTTGAAACAGATTGCTATGACAGACAGTATAGATGTGCTATAATATGTACACAAATGACACTAACACCTTTGTAAAGATTTGGTTTTGTAGTAAATCATAACATGAGCTCTCCCCTGGGACTGTACCAATGCACGTGTGCCCTTTGTCCCCTCCTGTGCTGCAGCACTGAGCAGGGTTTCTGTGCTTGTGAGCAGCAAGCCATGCTGCATACGCAGGAGATTGCTTTAGCAGTTCTTCTGTCAGGGCTCCACTTAACCCTTCAGTATTAAACACATAAATACTTCAGTGAGAGTACAGTGAGAACGTGGAGGAAACCAGCTTTATTTCTGAATTTCCTTCCATAATACCTTTGATTGTTTTTCACCTTGTTTTCTCTCAAGCCTACTTCTGTTACTTTGTAACTTTTCATGAGGTTGACTTCGAGTTTTGCTGTGTAATGATGCCCTTGGAATGATGCCCTTATCTCAGAGAAAGTGTAGAAGACAAACCACTAAAACACTTGTATTATGCATGCCTAGAAGAACAAACCCAAAATTAAAATGAAATAGTGAGCTTCTCATAATTTCTTCTGCTTATTTTCTATAAATAAGTTAATTAGTGAAATCGTAGCTCTAAATATTGGTTTGGTTTTTTTTTTTTCTTCCATGTAGAATATATAACACTGGAAATTAGCATTTCTCTGTTTCTCTCAAGTTTGTTTTTTTTTTTAACTATCCAGTGAATTATTGCTCACTTCCTTTAAAACCACCATAGAAAGCATATTTTTTTCAGCTAGAAGAACCCCATCTAGTTTTACTAGTACACAGAAACAATTTTAAAGATAATAATTCTAATTCCAGGAAGAATTTTAGGAAAAAATAGGAAATAGTGAATGTATCTCAAATAAAGAGCTATTCCATGATGGAAAGACAAGGGGGGAAGATATAACAGCAGATATTTGTCATGAGGTTTTACTGGAGCGACTGATAAACTACTTTGCTTTGAAAGGGAATTCAAAAGAACCTACAGACCAGCCGCCTGTGTTTTCATAGCACCGTACCTGCTCCCTCTTGTGGCTGCTTCGGAGGGATTCTTCCTGTCAACATCAGACAGGCCACAGTTGCGAGAAGGTGAACTCTGAACAGAGATTCTACACCTTACTTGTACTGCATACGTACTCCGCAGGTTTCCTTTGGGACCCTTTTCCCCTTAACATCACAGAATGAAAGAATCATAGAATGGTTTGAGTTGGAAGGGGATCTTGAAGGTCATCTAGTTCCAACCTCCCTGCCATGGACAGAGACACCTGCAGCCAGAGCAGGTTGCTCAGAGCCCCATCCAGGCTGCTAGAACATCTTCAGGGATGGGCTATCCACAATTCTCTGGGCACCCTGTTCAAGTGCCTCACCACCTCACAGAATTTTTTCCTGATATCAGATCTAAACTTAATTTCTTTCAGATTAAAGCCATTACCCCCAGTCATATCACTACATGCTCTTATAATAAGTCTCTCCCTCTTTTTAATAAGACCCCTTTAAGTACCGGAAAGCTGAAATTAGGTCACCTCTTTTCCAAACTGATCTAACCCAGTTCTCTCAGTCTTTCCTTAGCTCAAGTGCAAAGCATGTTTATTTAGGAGTAGATTTACTGAAAGCAGTCAGCTTCCTACTCACACAAACCATGTAGGGAGAAGAATGAAATCCTGAACAGAAGCAAGTGTTTGCTGCTTTGAAAACAAAATTGAACTAAACAAAGGCAGCTTTTATATTTTCTTGTGCTATTTCAATTTTTTTTTAATTTTTTTTTCTCATTTCTTTTCCTTTTTATCCATTGTAGAATATTCTTGACAGCAAATAAGTTTTCGCTCACCACATAGCTCCTGCATGAAGAACACTGCATCTGCTCTGCTTTGTTTTGCCACTTAAGTGTCAAGTAAAGATTTCCAAAACTCTTTAAAAATTTTAAAATTTAAATCTCATTAGACCTCACTGAAGTTGTGAAAGAACAACACAGTTGTTACTGAACAAGACAATGAAGGAGTATGTGTTCATCTAGAGGTCACCTTAGGAGCAGGCACAAAAAGTATTCATTCAAGGGAAAAAACACATATGTGGAATTCTAAAAGCAGCCAAAGATAAAAATAATAGTGCAGAAAACCTTTCCCCCGTGTTTTTGGAATTCTGAGCAAAACCAGAAGTTTTAGGTTGCCTTAGAAATCCATTGAGGAAGGCATATGCCATTTACTACACATAAACTAGCATAATTTATTTTGCTATGGTAAGGTCCAGGTTTTTTTTGTTGTTGTTTTGTTTTGGGGTTTTTTTTTGTTTTATTTTTTGTTTTGTTTTGTTTTGTTTTGTGTTGTTTTGTTTCGGGGGTCTCTTGGCAGGGGGTGGAGAGGTTTTATTCAGTTTCTTTGTTTTCTGGTTTTTTGGGGTTTTTTTGTGGTGGTTGTTGTTGTGGTTTGGTTTGGTTTGGTTTGGTTTGAGTTGGTTTGGGTTGGGTTAGGTTGGGGTTTTTTTTTGCTATGAGTTGGCCCTATAGCTTTACACAGCAGGAAAAACTACTGACCTAGTAAAACTCAGTTCTATGGTGCTGGAATGAAACCAGTAGATACTGTTTTCTAAAGCAAAACCTTTTATAAGTGGGAGAAAGCAAAATAAGAGGACCAGAAGAGCCTCTCACATGTAAAAGTATCACACTGTGTCTCCTGGGAGATTGAACAGCAGTGGCAAAGAACAGACCCTGCAGCAAGTGGTTTCCAAATAACAAGTTTAGCAGAAAGCTATGAGTTTACCAGCAGTCTCTGTGCAAATGGACTAAACCCCTCGCAGTGCAGGTTTGCTGCTTACTCAAGGAGCTGCACCTATGGAGCACAATAACCTACATCTCAAGACTTTGCAAATAAAAAAATTTATCCACTCTTGAGCTGTGTCATTACCATTGCAGGTAGATTTATCCCCATGCTTTTTCTGAAAAACTAACATATTGAATACCCTTTAAAATTACTGTGCCAGTTTTCCCATGAGCAAAACAAATATGTTAAAGTATCAGACTTGACCAAAGAACAGTGATTTCATTTTGTGAAAACCTTCTGTGGAACTTGAATGTATTTTGAAATACATCGGCATGAAAACAAAAGCTTTCCAATTTATTTTCCATGCTGGAATGGTATTGAATTATCACTTTTTAAACTGACACATAAATTCCTACTTCATTACAATAATGGGAGGTGATGGCTGGGACACTGTCCAAAGATTCCTGTTCAAATCCCCCTTATGCCTGTTTTCCCAGCACTTACAATGCTGGAGAATTTATCACTTCATTTTTGCCCTCACAATAAGATTCCTTTCAAAAGTCATGAACTTTACTGAAATACTTCTAACTTTGACATAATAGTATGTTTCAGCAAATTAGAACTTCACTGAATAAGTTTCAAACCAGCTCTAAGAAATATAGACATACTGATCACCACTCAAGGTGCCTTGATGGTTAAAACTTTAGGATAGTGTTGAAAAACAACAGATTTTTGTCTAAAAGTTAGAAATATGCTTTGTATTTTGTATCCATAAATCTTTGTTCTGGAAAAAGATGCAAGGCAATTGCTGCCATGCTCCATGTGTGGTGATTAAGCAGTAGCTTTGTTACTATGATTAAGTTAAACAATATGATAAATCCTGTCAAAAAGATTGAAGTGAACCTTAAATTACTTTGGAGGATTCCATTGAAATATGAAAAAGTAAAAGCTTTATATTGCTATTCAGTCTGAATTGCTCAAGTCTCTATTTATACCTCATATGTCTGAGTGTTAAATGGATGACCAACCAACAGATTGAATAATTGATGCCACCTTCTGGATTTTTACTAAGTAGTGTTCTAGAGATAGTGGGGGTTAAGAGTGGGCAATGAGAAGTTTAATGTTCTTTAGGATTCCTTTTTCTTCTTTCAGTACACCTTGCCATAAAATTAAGAACTGGCATTCAGGGCTATCCAACATCAATACTGGAAACTCTTTGTATTTCAATGATACCTACAAGAAAGAAGAAAACGACACTCTAAATGTCATGCCAAAGAGGGATGATATAAAGGTTGGCTTCTTATGGGGTAAAGATGCTTTCTGGATTATATCTTCCACTTGACCTAGGAATCCATCTTGTCTTATGACCCCCCGGTAAATCTTGTTGAGTTGTCAGAAGGTCCAGTCCAATCCAGGTGTGTTATTCTTGGTTACATAGTATTTTATAAGTCCGGTATACCTGTAAATTGAGAAAGAATTAAATCAGGTTTTACATTGTCAAAATCATGGAATGAAAACACCCAATTTCCAATCAAGTGAATGGTGATGGGGTGAAATTCCACAGCCAGACTTGGAAAGCAAAATCTTTGTCACTCACACAAAGTAATGTAAAAATGTAACCAGCCAATTCCAGTTATTTTCCAATGCTTTATTCAATAAATTGATAATCATGACATAGTATCTTGATATGCAATGTCAAAGGTCAAATTTCAAAGCTTGCTCTAATATTTCTTTATTTGTGTACTATGTTTCTTTGTTTGTGTTAGCCTGAGTCTACAAACTTTGGCCCTAACCACAGCATGAGCCTCTTCTAACCTCCCATGAGCAAATTGTACTCTCTTCTGCAATCACAATTTGAAGCATTATCAAATTCATCAGTGAACAATCAGCTCTGTTGGGTAAGTCAAAATGCCTGCTAGAAGGTAGACTGGGTAGGAGGTGACTGGTGGAAACCATGAGGGAATTAAGGGCTGAGGTGCAGAAGTATAACAATTCCTTAACTGGTGTCACAGCTGTGGAAAAGCAGCCCTGGATCCATTTCCAGTGGAACCGGCTTACTGCAGCTAACCCTTGCCAAACAGCATCAGGTTGTCATTGCACTGAAATGGGCCAGGAGTAGCGCTGAGACCTCCTCAGTGACTGTTAAGTTTCAGCTGAAATATTGAGCCAGTACATTTATGGCTGCAATAACCAACATGTGCCTTGCAAATCAATGAAGACATCCTTGTCTGATGAGGAGGATAGAGGATCATGGAATATCATGGGTTGAAAAAGACCTCCAAGACTATCACATGTTTACCTAGAACTGCAAATTCACCACGAAATCATGTCCCTAAGTACCACATCTACTGTCTTTAAATACCTCCAGGAATATTGACTCGCCTGCTTCCCTGGGCAGACTGATCCAATGCATAAAACTTGTAGCAATCTAAGAACTCAGTAACCTGGGGCTTTTTCATAAACTGTGTGAACATGGAAGTAGCAAGCCTCTAGTGTTTGGACAAAGGAACATAAGGATCAGACGTTTTTCAAGATAAGGTCATAGACTTGGGTCTGGGCCAAATGTACAATATAGTCATGACCCACAGCCTTCCCAAGAGTGGAAACGGAAAAAGGAAATTATTCTACTTTACCTTATTGAATAGTAGAAGGCAACACATTACACTGGACTCACGAGACCAGAAAACATATTAGAAGGATTATTTTTTCCCATTAGAAGTATGAACAGCCGTCGCAGATTGTTAACATCACTTACTGCTAATTATGTTAGGATAAAAAATGGTTTTGCACTAACTTTAGACTGAAATAGCATAGGAACATGTTTGCTGAGTCCTCAGCAATCATATAGAAATAGAAACAGTGATGTCACATTAATCAAGCCCTAGGTATGTTGTTTTCTGGCCAAACCAACAAAAGCTCTGTGTTTACTTGATGGATTAGCACACATTCTCATATCAAAAAACATATCAAATCCAAGACAGCCATGCTGAATCTAATTTGTGTTCACCAAGCAATAAAGTTGTCAGGAAAACTGCACAAAACTTGACCATTACCACTATTAATCCAAAATGCAAGTTTTTTCAGGTGAAATTGAAGAAATACAGAAGGAAAATGTAAGGTTCTCTTTTGTTTAACTGCTTGCAGCTAATGAAGGCTGAGAAAAATATTTCTCAAAGCCTGTAAATATATATTAACTTCATTAGCCATAATTAGTGGCCATGAATGTTTTTTCTGTGATGAAAACCCAGATTATTTTCAATAGTTTAGTTTTTTAAGTTGTTGAAGGCAAAATTTCCTGTGCTGCTTTCTACAAGATTTATGTGATACAGATTCTATAGCAAGTACTGTGTCCCAAGATGTGCTATGTCCTAAAATATACTGATGCAATCTCAATAGATACACTTTAAAAATTGTAATTGCATTGCAGGAACTTTATAAAGAATTGAGTTATATATCAGAGTATTGTAATATCCAATTTCAATTAGAATGTATTACAGTTAGGTAAAATTTACATAAACTTGTAGTTTAATGAGGCAAAGTTATTGGTGTGTTTTTTAAAATTGTATGTTTCCAGTATAGTTTAGAAAAGTTTGGTCAGTAACTGCATGATAACACAAATTCAATCTTAAAAATAAAAATAGGATCAAGAAAAATTCTACTTGTCTTGAAATATTTCCTATAGTTTTAATAAAATTCAGATCTATGCCAATATAATACCCAGGTCTTGCCATAATAGTCCTTCTATTAAATACCTGTAGCCAGCATGTTCTGTGAAAACTGAACATAGCACTGGTTTTGGAATGCAGAGAGAAATGCATTACATGTACAAAATTCATGTTAAGAGAAACTAAGCAGTCACTCTTCAGAAAGGCAAGTAAATGGTGTTGTATCAGATTTCTGCTGGAGTGACCAATTCTGTCTCATAGTCAAGCATCTATAAATCTGTGGTGGTTATAAGGATTAATGGTACTGGAAGGCTGCACTCAAGAGTATTAACATCTTCTATTTGAGACTATTTACTATAGAAAAGTACAAAATTACCTCTACACATAGAGTCATTAAGTCTATGTCACTTGGGTGTGAAAAGGTATGATGGGTTCCCTCTCTGCCAGTTCAGAGATTACGTGAGTTGTTCCCATCCCAAGCTTTAAGGTTCCATTCTGTTTAAGCAAGACATAGCAGCTTGCACACAGCCCTACAGATCCCTGTTTCAGTCCGTGGTAGGCCAGTGAAAATGCTGGTTGTCAGTTTTCCTGCTGCTGTCTTTCACCCAGCATTGATAGATCAGTTCAAGACTGGTCTGAATATCATGGAATCATGGAATGCATTGGGTTGGCAGGGACCTTAAAGATCCTCTAGTTCCAAGCCCCTTGCCATGGGCAGAAACACATTCTACTAGACCAGGTTGCTCAGACTCCATCCAAACCAGCCTTGAAAAGGCCAAGAAATATGTTAGGGTATCTTCAGCTCTCAGTTAATCAGTAATAAAATATTTCTTATATTTAAACTATTGAATTGCTTCACTTTTGCCCTACTTTATATCCTTTAAAATATTTAACAATCTTAAAATTCTTTTCTTATCAGTGATTTGTTTCTCCTTATCTCCCAACTTGAACAATGCTAGATAGCAAACAGAGATTTGCTACTGTGCTAGGTCTTTTTCTAAAACTTAGGTACAGATCCTGTTTTCCTGTTTTTCTCATTCTGTCATTATACATTTTTTTTTAATGAATGAAAGAGAAAAATTTGCACAAAAATAAATGCAGCAAAGACATTCCATGAAAATTATTTGATTCCCTGCAAGACAATTTTTTTGAAAGTTACGTTAGATCAGAAAAATGCAATGCTTGTCTCTCCAGAGCTTTGGGTCTGACATTTTTTCCATGCTTATATCTCTAACATATTTTCATCTCACACCTGCCCCTGGCATCAGATTACTTCCTGCTCCAGAGACCATTGAGTGATATCTTCCATGTTCCTATTATGTGATCAGGTGTCAGCTTGCTCGTAACAGCCAGAAAAAACAGTGCTGTTGTTACTATATGAACAATAATTTTTACTTATGAGCCCTGTCTTGTGTAAGGAAGAGCATGTTCCTACACTTCTAACAAAGCCAGTCACTATCAAAGAGCATAAAAAGTAACAATAAGAATAACAAGAACTGGAGTTATTTCACAGAGCTTTACAGATACTTTTTAATTCTCCTTCTTGAATTTTCAATTCTCCTTCTCCTTAACTTCTATTTCCACAGGTCCCACATCTACTGAATCCAGTCCAAGGTAATATACCACTCTTATTTAAACAATTTTTTTCTATTTCCTTTCCCTTCCCTCAAGAGGCAACTCTCCCTCATTTTACACCAGAAGTCCTTTTGAGTGCCAACCACAGGTTCACTGATTTGGCTGAAAAATTGGAAGTGCTATGCTACCTTGATAGTCTTCCATTTCTACATCATATTTGCTTATAGGGCCATAGACACAACATAAGATTTTAATTTAACCAATATTTCAAGTTGAAATAAAGGAGAACTTTAGAGTGGAATAACTGCAGATGACAGTCAGTGGAAGACCGTTCCAGGTTGTACCTCTTCAGTTTAGTATGAGATTGCAAATACAGTAGGATACAGTGAAAAGTTTTATTTTAAGGAAGAGTTGGGGAAAAAAGTAAATGTTTCTACTTATATCTAGATGTTGATTTTATGCTGCTGATATATAGTCCCTCTCTGTTAGGTAGAAGCAGGCAATGCTCAGAAATAGAGAAACTTTGCCTACTCTCACAAAGAAATTTTCTCAGTATAACCTCCTCTCACTCCCTCATTTGATTGCTAATTTCCTATTTCATCAAGTCTGTTGATGAAGTTTATTGGATTGTCTTCTCAGTCCATGGATAGAAGTCAGCTTTACAAAGAGTCATAGCCATAGACAGTGCTCCACTTCTGCAGAAAGTTAATGACCTTGAAACTCTACGTGCAGATGGCATCACACTTGTCACTCATCCACGTCTGGCAAAGCCAGCTGCAAAAGGTTGCTTGAGCTCGCCTGGCCAACTTTGCCAGAAGTGTGTCAAAGAGAAAAGTTTCTGCCTGCTGGCAGAGAAATGAGGGCAGACACATTCAGGTGGTAGACAGTGACAGGGAACCAGAACTCTTAAAGTCTTCAGCTGGCAAGGCTAGTGCCTGTAAAACTTATGCATGTGGCAATCCTGAGCTGTGTAAGTGAACTTACTTGGCTCTCATCAGTACATCTCCAGTATAACCTGCAGTCCTTTTAGTTGTATTGTAAAGTAAATAAACTACTTGTGGCTTCTGTAACTGTAGCACTGAATAACAGTGACAACAGCCAGATTAGTTAAAAAGAATTATTCATATAATAGTCAGAGGATATCAGTGGGCAAATTTAAAAAATGCAAAAGTTTTTTTTGGATGAAGCTTTTATAAGAACAGACTTTGTTCTGAGATTTCTTGTGTTTTCAGTTTCCACTTGACCTATTTTTCTTAGCTTGCTCTCTGAAAAAAAAAATTACTGAGATTGAAACCTACTAACAGAATAACAGAGTCTAAACAATATGGTTTTACTCTTCAGCAGCTGCTGCCATATGATGAAAGCACTTATAACCAACAAGATCCTCTTTGAATAAATCCGTTCTATAATATATCTAGAAATTGCTAACAAGACTGTAGTTATTTAACATATGCTTTATTTTTAAGCACTCTTTCACATGAAATCAGAGAGGATTTATATCTGTAATACAGAGTGTTTTCAAGTGTTGGGCTTCTACATTGCATAAGGTACATAGAAAAGCTATTATTTCCTTCTTCAAGCCTGTATATGCAGAAAACAAAGATACTTCCTTTACTCAACCAGGCCCTCGATAATTAAATTAGTTACTATAAAACAGGCACATTATAACCTGCCACCTGTCCTCTGTTCTTGTTGCAGAGCATTCAGTAAAATTAGCAATTCTTTTTCTGTAAACTTCGCTGCACATTTTCATAAATATGAATGCTTACTTTCTTTTTTTATGTCAGTTCTCCGACTCATCTGCTAGGCAGACTTTTTTTTTCAGGACAGTGATTTAAATTAACTGTAAGATGAGGACATGTGTTCTTGAGCCAAATACATAACAATGCTGTTGCCAAACAAGCTAATATACCAAAAAATAAATTATAAGCTTGGTGGAGAAGTCATGAGGATGCACTTCCATGGCCTGTATTAGGCAGACTAAGTTTATGTAGCAGTCTTTTCTGACTGAAACCAGCATATAGCTCCACATGTCTTTAGAATGAAGAGTGAAGTTCTAGCACAAACACAAGATTTTGCAATTATCTTCACTCTCTAACCTTGCTCCAGCAATGAGCCCAATGGAAGTCAGAGAACCTCTGATAAAATCAATTTAAAGCTTACACTTTCTTATGACAGATGAGGAACAGAAAAAAAATGGTATTTCCTTTTGTATCAAACCAAAACCAGGGCTCCAGTTTAACTGAGTACCCTTCAAGAATAGTCTTAGAGCCTCTAACCATTAACATTCTTTCTTTCTTTCCTCCCACACCCTTGGCTTCCTCTGCAGCCAGCAGGGTTTGAATGACCTGGAAGGCCATGGACATTTTCTGCTGGAGTGGGCCCCAAAGTTTGAAATATATTTATGCAGGAGTATCAATCATGTAATTCAATAGAGGTCAAATACTTCACAAGTTTTTTAACTTTTTTTTTTTGCATTTCCATATAATTGAAAGAATATGTTTGACAACTTTACTAAATCACTCATTCTAACATACAGTACTATGTTACTGTATTAAGGCCATCTGTATTTGTATGTATTCCATACCAAGGAATGTCAAGATCACTGTGTTAAACTCTAATGTATATGCCAGAGTTTAGATCCTATGAATAATCCAGCATGTCTAGGCAATGTTTCTCCTGAATTATCTCACCACACTGTATCCTTCAAACAATACTATATTGTGTTGTACAATACAGTATACTGTTCTATATCTTTATATGAAAATATATTACTTAAAACAATTTATTGCTTTCCTTCTTTCCAAATTACACTTACTTAATAGTCATTATACACTTACCACAATATATCTATTGGCTAAAGCAAATATTTACAAAATTGGATTGCTAAAATGACCCTGTTATGTAGACAGTACCTTATTTGCAAAGCTCTAAAGCTCTCTACAGCTGCCACAGCAATAATTTTTTTGATCTTCGTGTAATAGGCAATGAACCTCAAGGTATGTGTTAGACATCAGTCTTGCAATAAATCATCATATGAGCCCTCATGCTACATGCCATTACACCCAATGTCCGTAATTTTTTTCAACATTTAAAATCCATGTGTATGTTACCTCGAGTTTCCTTCAAAAAGTTTTTAGAGTTACTCTATCTGTAACTCTACTTTGGGAAAGAAGTTCTGTGGCAGATCTTATATCAAGGCTGGAAAATGTAAGGATTGTCTTTAAAGAAATTAAAGTAGTGCCTTCCCATGGGAGAAATTTAAATACAAACACAGCTTCAGAATCTTTTTGAAGAAGCTGAGGCATAATATTAAACCCCACCTTTTATGACAATCCCCCCATTTAATTCCCATGGGTGGAGGTCTATTTTGTACAACTATTTTAGTGAACTTTTATTTTAACCTTTTAAGGGATATATGTGCACCCCACAGACATTGCTTTATGGCAGGTTCCCAAATCACAGTGGGAAAAGGGCCAGAGCTTAAACAATACACATCTGCATTTAGGAAGGAAATAAAAAAGGGATCTGTGCAGTAGCATAATCAGATAATATGACTGAAGAACAAGAGTCACACTCATTGATGGTATCATTTTTTTAACTTCTTCTTACTTGACTAAATCAGCACCTCACCATAAGAAAGAAAAATATAGAGCACAGCTCATTAGTTTTTTTCCTAGACCCATGGATCTGAAGGCAGCTGTAATGTTTAGACATACAGAGTTAAAATAAAGGAAGCCTTGTGTGTAGAGCTTAGACACTGACAAAAGCCAGCACATTCACAGCATATTTGAAGCAAATTAATTCTACCTTTTGTTCAGTGAAAATTTTGGTATTCTGCTTCTGGTTTTTGCCTACTTGAATTGTTGAGTTTTTGTTGTTTCAATAGAGGTTCAGATACCTAGATCAAGACAAACACAGAATGAAAATATGACCTTTGACCCAAAGTTTTTATGATCTAAATATGAAAAAAGTAAACTATTATGAACAAAAAAGATGAACAATGAAACAACGGGGATAGATATTAGTCATCCTTGTAGACAATTCTCTCAG